TTTATGTGGATTAATTAAAAGAATGTTCTGTGTTTATGTGTATTCTCTGCTAGCATAAAATAATGAAAATACAAATGCAAATACCACGAAGTGATCAAATATCCCAAATGCAATAACAAATGCACAAGCAGCAGAAGAAAGAAACAAACAAACGTGCGTGAGCTTTGGTTCGGTCTATGTGTGAGACTAAGTGTTGGGTGTGTGCTTGTGTATGTGTGCGTGTGAAACATTTAAGCTTTAAGTACTGGTAGTGTGCGCTGCCACTGCGCTTTGGATAGTCGCCGTCGTCGCCGTTGGAGGATCTGCTGTCATTAACATTAACATTAAATGTTAGTATACCAACACAAGCATAGTTAAATATGTACATATACACAATATATACCACAGAAAAAATAAGAAAGGAAAAAAAAAGAACGAAACGTCTGCAGAGATGCGACGGCCTCTGCGTATGAGCGCATGTGTGTGTGTTAAAAATAAAAGTAATCAAAAGGGGGCGACGATTACGTCGCTGTCGCCGTCGCCGTTGTCGTCGCGTGCATTGCTCCCTCTCAGCTGCTGCGCATGTGTTTGTAGTAGTGTAGTGTGTAGTGAAGTGTGCGTTACATACATACATGCATACACATATACATGTATATACATGCATACATATATTAATATGTGCATGCCTCGTATGTGTGTGCTTTAATTTTGTCAAACTATTACCGCAGCGCTTACATTTACATCATATGTTAAATATACTGACAACATTGTTTGTTTTTGTTTGCCCACGCAAATATGCAATGATTTCTCCTAGCCTTCTCTCTCACTCTTTCGCCCCCTCTTCCAGTCTCTTTCTCTCCTGTTTTTCTCTTTCTCGTTGTTTTTTTTTCGCGCTTTGCCCACCCAAAGCGACGCGCGCTTTTCATTCATACCTCGCAAATGAAGCATGCTCAATTGTGCAAGGGATGGAGGAGGGGTACGGAATGGGCAGGGGTTGGAATTTGTGCTGGGTGGTGGATACACACACACACACACAGGCATCTTACAAGCGGATGTGGAAGTCACTTTGTATACGTGTATATGTGTGCATTTGCATGTGTGTGTGTATCTAATGGGATTTTCTAATAAAATTTAAATTGTTGGCATTTCTGCTATGAATTTACTATAAAGTGTGTGAATATAACAGCCACAATCACAACAAAAGTAAGAAAAAAAACGAAATGCTTAGTGTGTGCCTAATATATATATATTTTGAATAAAATTAATAAATTATCGACAACATCAATTGTGGAATATGTAATTAAAAGCCCCAAGTTGAAACGAAATACCAACAGAAATTTTTTTTTTTGTAAAAATTTTTATATTTTATTAACAAGCTTACTGCTACCATA